AATCACTGCTCACTAGCTCTCTAGCTTTCTAAATTACCTCCAGCTCGCAAGTTACTGACTTAAGCATCAGAGTGACCTCGCCGGGTAAGCACCCCCGGGTTCTCTGATTCTTTCTGTGCAGGACTCCTCCACGTTCGTCGTCTACTGGAAGCCAAGTCATCTCCAGCTAGGAGCAGCCAGATTGCGCAACATCAAAACTATTAATTGATATTACACTGTTTATTAACTAATTTAATATATTTTTTAGTATTTATTGTATTTTTGTAATTATTGTATCTATTGTATTTTATTGTTATTCATTATATTTTTATTACCAATATATTTTCAATAATTGTGTTTTTTTGTATTGGAGATTTAACTATTTTTATTTATTAGAGATTAGACTATTAATTTAGCTAAAATTAAGAGTGTTCATGGGTTGGTTCGATTTGGTTGTAGGTTGATTTGGTCAACCTAGGTAGGTTTGGGAGTTGGTTAGCTGAAACTAGAGATGCAAACAGATCGGATCGAATTCGAATTAGGGCATATCCGAATTCGTTACGATATTGGTAATTGCATTTCCAATCGGATTCGAATTAGGGCATATCTAAATTTGATCTAATATTGGTAATTGCATATCCGATTGGATATGATACACATGGATCTAGATTTGAATCCAATGAGGATGTCAGATTTTCTCAATTCTTATCTGATCCAATTTGATTTTAAAAAAATTAATAAATTATTAAAATGAAAATAAAATTTAACATTTTAAATAAAGAAAAACAAAAACTGCAAGTATCATTTCAACTATTTTCATCATATATATACATGTTTTTTATAAAAAAATAAACAATATAACATATTTACAAAAATGTAATATAAATAATATATTTATAAATGAATAAACAAGTAATAAATATGTATTATACATATTTATATAAATAAATAAATAACATATATATCAAATCGAATCTTATTGAATCAGATAGGGGCCGAGTGATCTGAATTTGATCCGATTTCTTATTGGATCCTATTATTTGATTCGATCCAATGATCAAAATGGAGCTATCCAAATCCAAGAATACAGGATCAAATCATGATCCAATCCATTTGCACCCTACTCGAAACCAATTGACCATTAGTGAAATCCACCCAACTCGAGTTGTATCAGTTTGAGTTGATTTTCAGTTTGGTTAGTCGGCTCAAAAGATTTAAACTCAAAAATAAATTTAAAAATTAAATTCATGATATAAAATATTTTAGACTTAGAAATAAGGAAATTTTCCACTTTCTTGTATTAAAAAAAATATATTAAAAATATAAAGTATAAATATAAATATATATATATGGTTGATTCGTTCAGTTTTGGTCAATTTACAAATAGTCAAAGCGAAACTGATCTAACCTGGTTAGGTTGGGAAATTGTTAAAGCAAAGCCGGCCAGAAATACTAGAAAATCGACCAACTCGAGTTGAGTTAGCCGATTTCATCAACATGGTGGACAACACTAGCTGAAATTAATTATTGTTACTTTCGCATTGTAAAAACAATATTAATAGTATAAGAAAAGATCTATAATGAGGGAAAGATATGGTATCGAAAGAGTTTTGACCAATAAAAATCCATCCATGAGATTTGATAAATAACACCTATTGATTGCCTCGTTTGTGATAGTAGTTGATTAATCAATATGTTTTCTGTATTACTATCCAATTCAAAATATAAATAATTATTAATTATTTAAAAATTAAAATATAAAACAATATATATTATATGTTTCTATTATTTAGCTTTCGCTTAATAATTCTCAATTTATACCGTAACCAACGTACGATAATGACCTTTAGTCAGGTATCAACGAGTCAGACCGTCTAAACTCTAAAATCTCACGGGCCCACACCTATTATAATTGACAGCCCCAAAAGCAGGTGGAAATCGGAATTGAGATTTGAGAGGTAAAGCCAGCTAATTATTATTTTTAAGAGGCCAGTGGGTTTCTCGGAGCATTTATGTGCACATTGATTGTATGTTGTTTAGGTAGAGGGGTTTTCTTAAACTCATGGATCGGAGATGTTTGTTATGGCCCACGGGCTTTCAATTTATGCATGAAAATCAAATACCATACCAAAGACAGTGGCTATTTATTAAGAGGTCCATGGTTCTTCAATGACCATGTATACAAGACTGAGCAGATCTAGTTTACACTTAACACTCATCTCATCTTACACCAACTGTCCCACTCCCTCGGTGGTTAATAACTTCCGTCCCGTTGAATTTGAAACCCCATTTTCTACCAAATAACTGTATATGGTTTTTCTCTTTGTTGATTTCTTCGAGATCGGCTTCAGTCAGTGTAAAGCCCATTTCAATATTGGAAATGTCTCTGTACCTATCTACTTTATTTCATGGGGAGATATTCCCGGTGCAAGGCCATAAAGTATGTTCGAACAGGCCGTGCACTAATTGAAGCCGAGTTCGATTTCTTCCTTCATCCCCACCCTTCAAAGTAGGACAACGCCGTAATGCTGTGCTGAATAAGGGTGAGCAAATGGTTTATTCGGTTAAAAACCGAATCGAATAAATCGAAATTTTAAATGAAAAACCGAACCGAAACTGAAATATTAAAAAATTGAAATAACCGAAATTTTCAGTTATTTCGGTTAAAACCGATTTTCAACATTATATATATTTTAATATATATTGTAGTGTATAATTTAATATTTATTATATATTATATATTAAAAATATATATTATACAATGTATATAATAAATTATACATTTTAATATATAATATATTTTATACATATTATATGTTAATATATATATATATATATATATTATAGATAATAAAGTTTGGATAATTCGGTTTTCTCGGTTAACCGAATTTTTAAAACTGAAAATCGAAACCAAAACCGAAAAAACTGAATCGAAATAACCAAAAACCGAACAAAAAAATCTGAAACCGAAATTTTTGGTTTTAACCGAATAATGCTCACCCCTAATGCTGAAATAACAAAATCAAAGTCTGAATTAAATGAACTGACATCGTGGTAGACTTACAATAATAAGGCCCGGTTTGGTTTGTAGGAATATGGCCCTAAATTAAAAGCTTTGATTTTTTTTTAAATATTTTTAGTCCTGAGTTAAAGCCCCGTTTGGTTGGCAGGAATGGGGTCTGGAATTAGAACCAGAATGGACTATTCTGCTTCTAACTGTTTGATTGGGTGGAATTAAAATCCCATTCCCATTCCTGTTGGAATGGTATTCCCCCATTTGAGAGAACGGTCATTCTCTGCCCCTCCCTTGAGAATGAAATCTCATTCCTTTTAATTTCAATTCTCATTCCCATTCTTGTCTGAACTAAACAAACTATGAGAATAGACCATTCTAATTCTGATTCCGGTTACAAACCAAACGAACCCTAATGTAGTATGAGATTTTCAGCCTCTCCTAGTCCTATTAATGGGTCTTATTATCCCATGATGGAGATCCAACCACTCCAGAATTCAGCTTGAAACATTTTAGAGTACAAAATGTAGAGTCAATTATAGGGTTGTATTTAGCAAGTCCGGATTTGTTCCTTAGGTTCAGTTTGGAAGGAGTACAAATACAAATATGTACAGCGTTAATACATACAAAATAATACAAAATATAAGATTTGGCACTCTATATATTTGCATCTGTACTCCTTCCAAACTCAGCCTTAAACTTAAAGAACACTTTTCACACCTACCTCACAGCGCATTGTAGCTGTAGTAGGACATATCCCATACACAGAATGCTCTTCACACCTACTTCACAGAACATTGCATCCAATACATTACAAACATCTAACAACTATTAGTAAATAGTCAAGTTAGAACTGTGGTCATGAGTACTGCTTAGATGTGTAGGGTTTGTTAAATGGACCAGTTTTCAGTTACACCTATCCAAATCAAAATCAATTTGGACAGATTGGACAGACCAATAAGGCATTGAATCGGTCCAATAAGTACTTTAGACTTGGTCCATCCCTAATAGATTTATATTGGGTTGGATCAGATTAAACCAATATCTGATCTATTGATAAATTAAAAGATAAGAATACAGATGTCAATGGAACAGGTTTCGGTTTGAACCAATTTAAATTAAAGCGAATTTGAAGAAATTGAACGGTCAAAACGTAGAATTGGACTGGTCCAAAATAGTCTAGAGTATTCATTAAATTGAATTAGACTTGATCCATCTATAATGCACCCATATGGGACTGGATCGGATTGGACTAAACCTGATCAAATTGACACCCCTACAGCCAAGATACCAATTTTTAAAACAGAAATTAAAGAAATAGATCTTTTAACTCGATCCAGGAGATGTTCCAGATATGTCAATTGCAATGTGCTGTAAAGGGGGTGTGAGCATCATGTGAGGAGTAAATCTAGATTTATATTTAGTGTCATTATTAATTATTGCCTAAAATTTGTTGGGTTTATCAATCCAAATTTATGATAAAAATGTATTTTTGATTAATTGAAATGTTTTGAAATATTGTTTGCTATACCTTTTTATTACCTAATGTTTTGGATTGATGAATACAAAACAATTGTCAATCCCATGATCCCATTCATGCATTTAATTGAGGTGACTCAAATGTGATGTACAACATATATATCGATATACCCACGTCACCAAAAACAACTTCAGCTGCATTTGGCATTCCTCATTTTTTAAGGATTTATCTCCTTTTTCAGTTAAAATGTCTCTATAAATACCGAGGCCTTGTTTGGTTTGGAATCAGAATGGGCTATTTTGATTCCAATTGTTTGGTTAGATGGAATTGGAATCTCATTCTCATTTTTGTTAGAATGTTATTCCTCATTTGAAAAAATGGCCATTTCCTACCCTTTTTTTAGAATGAAATTCCATTCCTATTGATTTTAATTCCCATTCTTATTATTGTCTGAAACAAATAAAAAATAAACCATTTTAATTCCGATTTTAAAGAATTTTGATTCTGATTCTGATTTCAACTGCAAGCCAAAGAAATCCTGAATTTTTAAATGTAAAAAAAAAAAAGAGATAAATCCTTAAAATAAAGGAGATAGCTTGGCATTTGGCAAAGTCAAGCTTTACTCAACTCCAAAACCTCCTTGACCACAAGGCTTCTAGCTCTATTAATGGTCATGAAGCAGAGGTAAAGGTGCTCCTCTAACTCATCTAACTGTTCACTAAAGCTGGAGTTGTTCTTCCTCAGCTGGCGCGCCACTTCCCGGATTGCATGGATCTGATCATCCCGTCGCTCCAGCCAGAACCTCACCATTGCGTGTACGTGCTCCAATTCACCGTCCAGCCGAGCCACCAGCCGGCTTATGGTTTCCAAATCCCTATTCAGTATATACGTCCCTTTAGCCGCCGCATCCAGCTGAGCTGACATCCTGGCCAACCTCCTCGTCGACGCCAGCTTCAGCGAAGCCGTTACGAAGCCCGGAACTGCAACCAACATTGCAAAAGCATGTGTCGCTGCGATTATGACTACGGACGCTGTTAACACCACCAGAAAGATAGCCGAGCCGCGTTTAAGTCCGTTGACGAGCTGGAGCTGGGCGCGGGCCTTCTCGCGTCTCAACTCGAGCTGCTTTAGCAACTCGTTGCAGCTGGCTTGGACGGCTTGAACCCGGCGGGGCGACGAGGCCGACGAGTCAAACGGGTTGAGTGAATTGGAGAACTCGGCCAGCCGATCCAAGAGTACCGGAAAACACTTGGTGGTATCAAGGGACTCGATGGTGGTTTTGAGAGGATGGTATCTGGTACGAGTTTGGTCAATGTCCTTGAGTAGAAGACCGCAGAGGAGAGATGCGTTGGCGGTCTCGGAGAAGTAGTTGGTGAGGAGAGAGTGATTTTCCGAGTGGTTTTGGGGTTGAGACAGGGCGAGGATTTTGGTGACGGCTGGTTGGTCGGGGTCTAAGAGGTGCTCGGCGAAGAGCCTGTAGGAGGGGAGCCTCGCAGCTGCGGTGGTGGATTCCATCGGTATTGACGTGGCAGCATCTCCGTGTGTCAAATCGAGTACACGTGTCCAGAACTCAATGTAGGATTCTGTTCGAAAGGCGTTGGCGTACTCCTCGCGAACGTCAAGGTTGACAGGGAAATTGGGATTATCAGGCATGGACTCTGTAAGGCATTGGCCCAAGCCCAACTTTATTTCATAAATCATGATTCCAATCAGACGATGAAAAGATGAACATAAAAATTGCAAATGAATGGAACAACAAACAAGGATTTAGGGTCAATCAGGCCCAATTTTAAGAGTTGGGCCTAAACCTGATTTGTTGAATTCAATCAGTCCATATAAAAATTTAATACATTGGGATTGAGCTCGAACTCAGGCTGGATTCACATTGATCAATCAGGCAGACAGCAGACTACCTGAGGGCTAAGCTCTAGCCCAACCTGAAAACTAAAAATCCTAAAAGCCCAGGCCCAGCACGAGGATCAAAATACTGGCCTGGGCTGAGATTGGGTCTGTTCAAGTTGTACCCCTAGTTAAGATGGGACAAGCTGTAAGTTGCAAGTAAAAATGTATCGATACTTTAACTAATACATTTTTTTTTTATTTTTTTTAATTTCAGATTTAAGTATAATTATATATAGATTATTTAATATAAAAAGGGTTTTATAAAAACATTATCGATAGTTTGAACCTTGAGCGGTGCAATTTGGGTGAATCCAATATGAACCTAACCTTACCCAAAGTTTTACACGTTTCCACAGATTGCATTGGGCCTGGAACCCTAAGCTCTTCCATTTCTAGGCCCAACCTTTTGATAGCCTAAGTAAGCCTAGGCTGCTCCCAGCTTGAGTCCAACCGAACTTGAACCTAGCCCTGGTTATACGTAGAGGTGTCAATTGGACTGGATTTGGTCCAATCCGATCCAGTCCAAGTGAGTCTACTTACAAGTGGATTGGACCCAATCCAGTCCAAATCCAATCCAATCCATTAAAATGTAAATGGACTGGATTGGATTCAATCCAAACCAAATGAAAATATCAAAACTTATAAAAAAACAGAATATATAAAAAATTACAAAAAAAATATATTAAAATGAAGAAAATCTGAAAATTACAAAAATATACCATTTTGGCATTGAAAAAATACTATTATAAAAGTGCTTTCGTAAAAGTTCTTTCATAAAAGGGCTTTCGTAAAAGTATTTTCATAGAAATGCTTTTATAAAAGTACTTTCGTAAAAATGCTTTCGTAAAAGTTCTTTCATAAAAGTGCTTATATAGAAGTACTTCCATAAAAGTGCTTTCGGTAAAGTGCTTATATACAAGTACTTCTATAAAAGTTCTTTCGCAAGTGTTTTATAAAGTTACTTTCATAAAAGTGCTTTTGTAAAAGTATTTCCGTAAAAGTTCTTTTGTAAAAGTGATTTCATAAAAGTGCTTTCGTATAAAAGTACTTTTCATAAAATTACTTCTATAAAAGTGCTTTTATAAAAGGGTTTTTGTAAAAATACTTTCATAAAAGTGATTTTATGCCGGCTTCAGTTTTGATCGATTTCAAATTGGACAAGGGCTTGGTCTCATGATCGAATTATTGAAAATTTGATTTAGGTCCAATTCAAACCAATAAGAACATGGACCAATTTATTTTGGACTGGCCCAATCCAATAAATATAATAAACTGTCCAAATCCAATTTGATAAGGTTTGGATCAAATTGAATCTAATCCAAAACCGGTCGATTGACACCCCTAATTATACGTATAATGTATATACATAATATAAAATATATGATATTCCTATTTGATCATATGCATGCATGCATGCATAAATATAAAATATTAAATATTCTAAGCCCACCCAAGTCCGACTCATGCTCGAGCACAACCCAAGTTTGTGATAGGACTTACCTTATGCTTAGTCTGGCTCAGCCATTAGACCCAAGTCTTAGAGTTGGGTGGGGCTCAGTTTATTTTAACCTTAACCCCAAGATGCATGAACATTGGCTGTTTCAAAACCCATATATCTATCTATCTATATATATTTATTTATTTATTTTAGCTTTCAAAAAAAAAAGTCAGGAAGACTGTTTGGTCAGTTCTACCCATGGGTCAAAGTAGTATACCGGTTTTCTTCTTTTAGTTTTTTCTTTTTCAAATTTTAGTTATATATATATATAAAGGATTTTGTAAAAACACCTGTAAAGAGGTGTATTGGGTGATATTTTGAACCTTGGTTCTACCATATGAAAATGGGCTAAAATCTAAAAGCCCTTTATTTGGCATATCAGGGACCTGACGATACCCTTGATAGAGAGCATATCATATCAAAATTTTGAGCCGCATCCCTGGACTTAAAACGGTTTCACAGCCTTACCCACATCCAAAATATAGTTGGAAAACCAGATATTGGCTTCGGTGACCCATGGGAATGGACTAATAGAAATATGCCCGACTGGTTTAAAACTAGAAGGGTTTAAAATTGATCAGAACTCATTCAAAGTTCACCGAGTTCATCGAGTTGACTAGACTCAGCCAAGTCATGGACTGAGTTGAGTGAAAAAGACTGATGTACACAAACATGCTTTATCGATATTATTTCTGTGGCTGTATTTGGTTGCAGATGCAAAACTATGGTAGTGCTAAGATTTGGATGCAAATTTTGATTTATTTTTATTTGAATGCAGTATAAATGAAGTAAAATAAGACCTGAAGCGGAATAAAATAAAATCTAAAACAAAATCAAACTAGAATTTGCATTACTTTCTTGTCCCAAGTAAAACAAACCCATCTTCATGTGCTAGAAGAAAACAGAAAAAAAAAAAGTTGATAATAAATGCCCTCTCAAACCAGAAAAAAAGAGAACAAAAATATTAGTAAATGAGAAAGGTGACAGCATGAAACTATGAATACCTCTGCCTGAAAGAAACTTTCCAAATCGAAGCAAACTAAGCTTTTTCTTCATTTACTCCAAAAAACAAAAGAAAGAAAAGACAGCCCAAATAGAAACCGCAGGATTGATTCAAAACACTTTCAAGTTTCAACTGGGGAATTCAAAAATGAGGAATCACAAGGGAGACATTTATTTATAACACCCTAGAAAAAGGTCTTGTCTGTGCTAGTTCTGTGACTTAGATGTATAATACAAGCTTTAAGAGACACACTACTCCTTCCAAACCTTGAAGTCCAAGTGAAGTTTTTAGCTTTCTTGATTTAATAAGAGACGGAAGCCTTCACATTCTTTGAAGAAAAGACATCAGTTTTGCTTTGCAGTTTGCACAAAGAAAAGAAGGCAGAGGTGATAATGTGGATAATGTTGTTTTGTTTGCACTTGGCCCCACCCGAATAGCACAATTGAGCCTTGCATTTAGAATTTGTTTCTTTCTCTCCTTTCCACTCTGAATTTCTTGAATCCATGTGGTCTAGACCTGTTCATGGCCAGGCTCAGGTTGAGTTTTGCCAAATTTTGAATGGGCCCAGTCCAAAGCCCAAGCCTGAAACAGTGTAAAGCATTCATGGGCCAAACCAAAGCCCGGCCCATAAACAGGTCTATTGCCCTAGGCAACACATGACAAAGCTCATGGTATTGTGATAAAGTCAAACAAGATTCAAAATATGCAACATATCAGTGTATATTATAAGATGCACACTCGTTTTTGAACCCATCAAATATTAGGGTTTAGGAAGTTCAGTTGCTAAGACCAAGGTTCAAAATATTGATACGCCCGATACGCCGGTAGGGGCGTATCGAGCGTTTCAATACTTGTTTTTGTACTTTTTTTTATTTTTTATTTTTTTCAAAACTGGTTTAGAGGAACCGGTCTAAGCCCCTCCATCCCCTAAACCGGTCAAACCCCCGATACACCCACTGTAGGGACCTATCGGAAGTATCCCATAACGATACGTATCGACCGATACAGGCCAATACGTAACGATACTTTGAACCTTGGCTAATACAACAACCACAGAGATGGCCTGAAACCTGAAAAAATTTGTAAAGAGGGATGTCGTACTTTGAATCATGAAGTCGATATCATAGATAAATATTGGAGAGGAAAACCAAAAATACATATTTCCAGGCAAGTCAAGGGGTCTTGGTCTTCCACTCTTCCCATCTTGACATAAAAGGAGACAAAGAAACATCCTTTGTGAGTTTGTGTACTACAAAAAAACAAGCCAGACCTTATTTCTATATGATGGCACCTTTTACAACGCATGGTGCGCATCTATGCTTTTTTAAGGCTATCTCGAATCTTCTTAGAATACATCGGTTTCAACAATGGCAATAGCTTGGCAACACATTTATGCAGCTAAGCTTTTCGATGCAATCTCAAACACGTTCTCTGAAAGCCCATTAGTTGACAATATCATCTCTAGTTGTCCCTGTAAATACAATATGTATCACGTTACGATGCTTATAGATAAAGCAAAATCAATGTTTTCTTCCATACCAGCAGCTACACAATACACGAGAGAGAGAGAGAGAGAGAGATTGCAATGGTTAGTTACCTTAGCAAGTTTTTGCCTGGTCTCATCATAACGCCTCCATCTTGAGAAAGCAGACACCATCCGGGATGCCACCTGCAAACCATGCAAGTAAGGAGAAAACAAATAGATATGGAGTTAATTACAACTACGTTGGATTGGATGCATGTATAGAAAAGAACAATCAGGTTTTCAAGAGGTATTTTTTGCTAAACTCACCTGTGGATTTAGCTTGTCTAGCTGAACCACTACTTCTCCCAAGAATTTGTAGCCAGAACCATCCTTTGCATGGAAATTCACAGGTGATCCACAAAATCCTCCAATGAGCGAGTATACCTAACACAGGAAAAGAATAATACTTCAGTTGAAGCTCATACAAATTCAGATTAAACTTTCATCAACAGAGAGAGTATGCAGTCACCTTGTTTGGATTACGCAAGTCAAACGCAGGATGTTTCAAGAGGTTCCTAACATTCTCGACGTTACCATGAATGTCTGACATGGCTTGAAGAGCAAACCATTTGTTCACAACCTGAGTCAAATAATAATAAGAATGTTGTCAGTGTCCAAGGCAACATGATGACTAGACAGTGCCTAGACCACAAAGATGTATTCTAAATCGAAGATATTGATACAATCACATATATAAGTTAATACATACTGCGGATATGCAACAAAAGAATGATGTAAGGCATTTAGTTTATACTTTGCAAACATAAAGGAAGGTTGGGTAGGCTAATATAGGGAATTGTAGCCTTTGCTTCTCATAAAAAGAGTGCAACTTTGATTGTTTCAATCTGGTCTCATTTGTGGCAACTCCATACAAACAGATTGCTACTCATTGAAGTATCAAAAAGAACTCCTCAACTGTCTTGATTTCTGCATTGTTTCTATTGTACACACCATCACCAAACCATGTTTTACCACAAATGCATAAAGTAAATACAAACAAAATAAAGCACTTGTGACATCAACTTTATATGATCAAAAATAAATACAAACAAAATAGAAGTAACTTAGAAATAAATTTGTAAGTTCACTAGTCACCCTAGTCTATGTTTAGTGACCCCAGGCAACCACTATGATAAACAATAACCGTCTAGTTGGTGGTGCAGTCAATATGGCCCTCAACTGACTAGAGAATGTTTTGATAATACTGAAGATAATGTTATAAACATTGTACAAAAGCCTTGTTCTTTTGTTAGCAATAAGTCAACAACCACACCAGACAGAAACAGGTTAAGGTTAAAATGCGAGAAGAAAATCAGTTTCTCTCAAGTTGAAAGCTAACACTAAATCCATATGACAAGTATATATTCTATGAACTTGGATAAATACTGAAAAGCAAGATCGCTTATTCAACAGTTAATGAGACCAGACCAGTCTATATTGGTTTGTTAACAAACAAATGGCCATGATGTTTACAGTTTCAAGGCGGATATGGGTAGTTTTAGATCTTATGAGACAATCAAGAGTAAGAGTATATTCCCCATGCACTGCATGAAAAATTAACAGCAGATAAACTTGTTTATGCATTCTTGTTAGAGGTGAATTGGACTGGGCCTGGCGGGGTCAAGTTGGACCTCACCCACTTATCCCAAGGTGCTGGATCCAAACCCCATCCTGACTATGCAGGTTGGCAAGACATAAAAGATTAGCATCACAAAGCCCATAAACACAATAGGAAAAAACAAATGGGTCCTGTGCAAATACAGGGGCCTATGGGTGTAATGCCTTGTCCTGTTTGTGATTTAAAGGATACATAATGGTCAAGCCTGGGATGCTAGAATTCACCATAATAAACGTGTGGTATCTTAAAAGAAACCTTACATAGTCAGGTCATTTAGTAAGCTCTCCTAAATTACCTAGGAACCTTCCATATAGTAACCTAGTCTGTGGTTCAAAAGGAGTCTCCATATGCCTCTCCCCAGTCCCCATCCTTCATTGAAAAAAAAATAACTGAAATATCTGAGATCCAACCTTGTTCCATACCCAAATTTAGTGACTTTTTTTATCAGTAAAAAACTTTCATTAATAACAGAGAAATTAAGATACAATAGATAAAGATTGCAGAGGAATAAACTGCAATCTCCAGCAATCAGTTACGATTCAGCCCAATACAATGAAGATCTATTTGCCCCTTGTTTTAGTTGAACTTCCTTGCAAGGTGTGTCAATTTCTCTGAAAATAAACTTGAGCTTCCAAGGTACTGATGTGATGTTTTTGGCCCAAGAGATGACCAATAGTGAGTCTCCTTCAATTTCGAAGTCTGTTGTTCCTATCTGCTCAGTCATCTTTAGACCTTGAAGTAGGGCTAGAGATTCAGCCTGTATTGAGTCACCATAACCTATTGGTCCTGAGTAGAGAGTGCCACCACCACACCCAGATAATTTAGTGATTTTGGATCACCAAAAAGATCGACATTTGGAAATAAACCTGATCTAAACAACCAGAAAAAAGAAAGAAAGAAAGAAAAACCAAATGTATAAATAGACCAGGTATAGATCCACCCTGTGAGATCTGACCAGGATCCAAACCTGTGGACATGGACATGTATTTGGCTGGATCTGCTCTAGATCTGACTGTCTCATGACCCATTGCTATGTGATCAAAATAGATTCTCCCTTTAAGGACAACTTTTATATATATAGAGAGAGAGAGAGAGATGCTAACATCACTGGCCGAACAAGTTTGCATCAGACAAGGGCATTGGCATCAGGATCACATGGAGAATAAATTTACTCCAGGCCATGGTTGCAAATTGGAGCCAATTGTCTAATTCTATACCAAACAAATAAATCACAAAAAGTGTTTCACCAGGTGATGTACAGAAGGTATGATCAAAGGCTACACTAGTAACAATTTTTAAAGAAAACTGAAAAAGATTTGGACTTATAAATTTTAATCCTAGGGTTTGGGTTTGTGGGGCTAGGAAAAAAATTATAGAAGATAGCAAGGATTTATTAGCATTGTGGAACCATGTGATTTCTAGAGAGAAAATAGAGCTTTCAATATTTTGATATTTAGGTGGATTTTCTTCAAAATTTTTTGAAGGGTGCTCGGGACAGTATTGTGTGGACTCTCTTAAACAAATGGAGATTTTTTTTTAAGTAAAATAAAAATTTATAAAAAATGAGAGATTACAAGAAAGGTGACCAGAGGTCACCCAAGAGAAGAAAGAAAACAAACCTTCACCCTACCACAACCCAACTCCAATCTCACAGCATCACAACCAAAAAAACACCCCAACCAACAAATTTTCCAAACCAAAATAAAGAATAAAACACCCAACCAGGACAAACAAACAAATAACCATATTATCACAACAGGTTAGAAACTCAACCCCCCACCTCCCAGCTCAAAAGATAGACTACCAACTGAACCCAACAACAAAAATATCAAACCTCCAATAACAGACAAAAACTTACAACATGTGAACACTAAACTCCAACTTAACACTGCAGAATGATTTTGCTTGGTTACTCGGTTTCTCCAGTAAACAGAAATCTCCTTCTTTTATTAACTTTCTTTGTTTTCTTCAACTTCTTAATGGGCCTGACCCCAAGCCTTTGGATCTGAAACTCCATCTACACAATCTTGGATTCATCTGCAAAAGTTGCTCTTTGGTTCCTGTCATTGGCTTAGAGATAGTCTTTAAGTTGCATATGTCAATCCTCAATATAGATCATCAGATCTTAAATATCTGCTATAGGCTTATGTAATATAGATCATCAGATCTTAAATCTCATGGTGTAATTCCCCAAGTTGCATATGTCAACCCCCTGGACCCTCAGGGTGGCGGGTGCTGTCAGAGATCAGCATGGTAATATCCTTCTTAGTTTCACAGGCCCAGCAGGGGAGGGTAATTCTTTAGGCTCAGTTTGGAAGGAGCACAAAAACAAAAATGTACTGTACAAATACATACAAAATAATTCAAAATACAAGGTTTTGCACTCTACAAATTTGTATTTGTATTCCTTCCAAACTGAGCCTTAAGAGCAGAATTGCTTGCGGTAATTCAAGGTTGAGATTATTACAGCAGCAGGGGTGGAGAGATGCAATTGTTGAAGGGGATTCTCCAACTGTAATTTGTTGGGTGAAAGCTGAAGATCAATTACCCTGGGAGTTTAGGCAGCTGGTGAGGGGGGCAGTAGCAATTGGAACTTCATTGAATGCCCCATTCAATTGGGTTCCTAGGTCTTCAAATGTGTTGGCAGACTCCTTAGCAAGGGCAGGGGTGGGGAAAGAGTCTTTAGTTTGGGGTTGCCCAGGTCCGGCCTGTAATTTGTAAACTTTAATATGCTGGGTGTTGTTTTGTAGTGGTAACCATAATCCTTTGTATTATGTTTTTCGGGCTCTTCTCCTCTTTCTGAGAAGTTGGAGCCTCTTTTAACATATATTCAGTTACTTATCAAAACAAATCCCCAAGAATATTTTCTGTAATAATTAGCAACACTCGTATCTTAGCAACACACATGGTGGGGGTGGGGTCTTCTCCTCTAAAGGAACTATCTCCTTCACTCTTTGCACTCACTCGTTTTAAAAATGATCCAATTTCCAAATTCCTTGTTCCTTCTACCTCAAACAATGGATTTAATTGGGATTTGGGATTCCAAAGGGGTATAAGAGATTGTGAACTTCAGAATGTACTCACTTTACTTCAAACCTTGGAATAAGTTTACCTTGACCCGTCCAAGTCTGATAGCCAAATTTGGACTTGGTACTCTCTCAAGTTCTTTTTCTTGTTCTTCCTTTTTTGCAGCCTTGTCTCAATCCTCCACAAGTTCTTTGCCTTCTTTTCCAGTTAAGGAGGTACGGGGTAAGGCTATTCCTCCTAGGATTGGAGTTTTTAGTTTGGAAATTATTCATGGAAAGATTAATACTTGTGATCTACTTTAGAAAAAGCAGCCAAAATGGTGTTTATCCGCTCATTGGTGTATCTGTGCAAGCCCAATGGTAAGAGTTGCTTCCACTTACTAATCTATTGTCCTTTTACTGCTTTTATTTGGGAATGGTTTTTCTCCTTGTTTGGATGTAACTGGAATCCTCCAGTAGATGCTCAAAGCCTCTTTGCTCCAACTACCTTCGTGTGGCCAAAGAAGAGGGGGAGACTCATGTGGAGATGTACAAGAGCAGCAATAATATGGACAGTTTGAGAAGAAAGGCATTCAAGATTATTCTTGGAGGAGAGAAGTAAAGAGGACATTATTGAAACAATAACAATTAGCGTCACACATTGGCTAAAATCCTTAGAAACATTTTCAAATGTTTCATTGGATCACTTCATCAAATTGGAGGGAAGTGGTAGGTTCTTGCTCAAGTAAGACTACCATCAATTGCTGTTGGTCTCCACCAGGAATAGGGGTCATCAAACTTAACTTTGATGGTAGTAGCAGAGGAAATCCAGGACCCTCAGGTATTAGTGGTGTATTTAGATATGAGGAAGGCAAGATAATGGGACTATGTTCAGGACCAGCTAGGGTGGGGGACGCCCTTAAAGCAGAAGTGTTGGCTATGATGGAGGTATATGTT